CTAAGTTCATACCCCAAGCTCTGGAAGTCTTTCTGAACAGAAAGCACATCCTTCTGGGACAGATCATTTGTACCAAGATGTATAATAGCATCAACATCACAGTCCTTACTGGCATTCTTGACTATCTTAAGAATACGCCTCTTGTCTCTGCTGGCAGACACCTGACCTCTTTCAAAACCTCAGTATCCTTTCCTAAATTTACATCCCTTACAATTGAGTCCTCAACCAGAATGTGGCTTCTCTTTTTGGATGCCTTGCTCTTCTTGTGTGACTGGTGTGTAAAACCTGATTCATACTTTCTCCTTTCCAAAGTTGTTCTTCTAGGATGATGATCTTATTGGAGTTATCATTATCACAACTACCTTGACTTGTCACTTTAGTGTCCCTATTAAGGTCAGCAAGAGCACTGTATCTGTTATGCTGGGAAACAGCAAAAGCTTTGTGTTTATGGTCCACAGCTCTCACCCTGCCAGATCCCACAGTTGTTGATACTGCCCTTTTCCTGTAAGATCTTTGTGGTAGTGGGAGCTGGTAGCCCAGCAGCTCAATAGATGGCTAGATTGGGCACCTAATTTCTGCCTGGAGAGCACAGATTAGAGATTCTAGATAGGTAATCTGTCCACATAGACTGGTAATTTTTACGAAGAGGACAGTATCCAAATTTGAAAAGAGTACTGCGAAAGACAGCTGTAAAACAAGTATTATTGGTATTTTTGGTTTATAGTTATGATTTGTGCGCCATTAGGTGTGCGGGCCGCTATCTTTCTCCTTTGTACTCACTCTCTGCCTCCCTCACAAGCAATCAACAGCTCCTCCCACCAACCTCTGGGAATTTGAAATGCAATTGAAACAATTCAAACTGCTTTTCTCCTCTACTTGTCCACTTCTCTTGTTTCGTTTGCTTTTCATGGGGATGGAAGGAATATGAAGGAATATGAAGATGGCTATTATGCAAGGGCAAGCAAAGAACTTCTTAGAACATCCCAGAGGAGAAGCACTTTCACTCCTAAGGGAGATGTATCCCATGGAGCCAGGATTTCTTCTGGGTAACCACAGAAGCAAAGATGCTGTTTTTCTGTTGCTTTTGTTCTGCAGCATTTTCTCTGGAGCTCTAAATTAGCCCAGGACACGAATCCTTCTGGAAGCCCCACATGTCATGAGGATATGAAAGATGGTAGTAATTTGGAATGGGTTCAGCTTGTTTGTATGGAAGACTTCCAAGAATGTTAAAAAGTAATACTTGAAATGAAAATAGGATACAAGCATATTTAATTGGGAAATTTATATAGCCGCCTACTTGCTCACAGTGACTCTAGGCAGCTTATAAGCAGTAAAAACACAGTATAAAAAATAAAAATAATTTTAAAAAATAACTCCCCTCTCCCATTCCTCCCAGCAACAAAGCAGTCAGATAAACCATTTCATGGGCTCCTCCATCCCACTCTGGGTCGCCCAGCTCTGCTGGCAAAGCCAAGTCATTAGGGCAGTATGTACTATTTATACTACTTGGTGAAGAGCTGTGTAGAAATATGTGTGGGTTACACCATTTTTACTTTCCAATTCTTACCTGAAATTATTATGCCTTGTGTTCTTCCTCCTTGGTTGGCTCTGGAATTTCAAGGGTTCCCGCTATACAAATGACAGACAAGTCATCGTATTCTCCAGCCCTGGGGAAAGTTGAACACTTCCATAAAGACTGGAGATCTGAACTGATATAGGCAATGTACAATGGTTTGGTTCTGATCTACAAATCATGCTCATTGCTTAATTATTATGACTTCAATTAAAAATTTCTAAAGTGTAAGGAGGTTCACTTTGTCTGTCTGGAGGATCCCAGAAAACAGCAGTGATATTTCACTGCATTTAGTACCATCATTAAGTTCATACATGTTGTGTAAGATCTCACATTGTGGGCATGTTGGCAGCTTTGAATAAAATGATACTTGCATTTTCCTACTGATTTTAAATACATTGCAGTATTCTGAAAAACAACAGTGCCACTTCACATAACCAAAAAAGCACTTAATTTTTATTTCCATTGTCTAGTCTACATTCAGTAAAACATGGCTTGCACTAAGTAAGTGGATCTTAACGCTTATTTAAACTTTATTTTGACTTTTGATTCTGTAAACTTGATTGACCTCTTGCTGAATTTTTTCTTTTGCACTCATTAAACTATCTCTGAGGAGGATCTTGTGACAAAATTTTGAAAAAGTGGAAACTGCAAATGTCTAAGTTAGACAAAGGAAAAAAACTAAAACAATATTAAAGATGTTTTTCTTTAAAAAAAGGGAAGATATACAAAGGAAGATGGCTTCATGCAATGCTAATTTAGATTATTTGGTAATTTAGGTGATTGAAGTTTATATGAAAACTTCAAGAAGTAAAATATGATCCAGAGTAAGTGCATATAGAATCAATTATCTCTATGATTCTCACTAGAAAACATGAACAAAATATGTTGGCTTAGTTACATCCTCTGTACTTTCCTATCTTGGCTCAAATCTCCTGAATCCATATTTAATCTCAACTTCCCTCATTTAGAATTGTAAATCATATTATCAAAGCAGGAAGGAAATGTATGTCACTATAATTTAAAATATTACAAAGATGATCATGCAGAGATGATTAACATTTTATTAGAGTGCTTTATCAGAATTTTATCTGACAATGACAGCTATAAACTCTTTGTTTTGGTCTATTTTCCCCTGAATTATTGTAAAGTAACATGAAAATCACCTCTCCAAATTATTGAGAATTGCTCAGAGGATTTTCATGCTCTTGGAATTATACTTCTCCAATTTAATTCTAAGAACTGTAAATTTCTAAATCTGTATGAGTCAGTGTTTTACGCAGTTTGTAATTCAAAGAGAATACAAAAGGTCACTTTTTTGGAAATCAATGCTGCAGGCTCAGATTATTTTCTTATAGCACTCAACTAGTTCTTTTATGGTTTTGTTAGCTATTGCTTTATATATGTCTGGAAAGATTTTTTTAATTAAATCTTATTTTTTTAAGGTGGAAAGAAATTTCAGTTTGGAATGAGTAAGTTGCTATATAAGATTATGCCTGTTAATATTGTGAATTGAAAGGATTCCCAGTTTGTTTAAGACATCTATAATAATGAATAGACTGAAGTGAAGAAATCGATTTTCCAATCCCTCCTCAAACACTTGCTTGATTCTAGAATTCAAAATGCTATTGAAAGGCTTACTTACTTTGCGGAATCAAGACTTTAAATGCCAGTAACAAGCCAACAATTAATTACATTGCATTCCCCATGCTTTAATCTACAAAAGAAGCTTTAGAGAAATTGGACAATGCATTGCATTTTTGTCAATAGTCTGCTGTAGATTATGCAATACAACAAGCAAGACTCTACCCTATCCTATTTCTTCCAGTGAATAAAAACAATCCAATCCAATGACAAATAATAGAAATCGTATATACATCATTAAGAAAAATGTTATTTATTTTGAAAATAACACTAGTGTGACAATATTTTTCTGAAATCTGGCTAATAGTGGTTGCTGGATGTAGAAAGATATGTATTTATATATGAGCTATATTTCAACAATTGTACGTTAAAACATTATAGAAAATGGATACTTAATAAAGATCAAACCAAGTTTGCAAAAATTGATAGATGTTCCAAGTTTATCACATTTCATTCAAGACAGAAACTGTTCGTTTTGATTCACTCCTATTAATACTACCAAAAACAAATGGACATATAAAAAACCAAACCCACAAACAAACCCAATAATCAAGCAAGCCAATTATCAGCAATATAAAAGTACCGTAGTAAATGATTCTGTTTAAAAATATTATATTGTTATCTTAGGTCAAATTATGGCTATTAAATTCATGACAACATAAAGGCCCTTTGGTTAAACGACCCTTGCTTTCTCCTCTCCATCTAGCCAATGTGAAAGTCTCATCAACAATGCTCACTCATCTAACTTAAGGAGAAGCTAGGGCTTGGTGTCATTTGGGACAGGAGACCTAGCAAGTCAGAATGAATGGAAGCATCTGAAAAAAGCATAGCACCTAATAATTTGGGGTTAGAGGAAGAAAGATTGATCAGTTTTCTTTCTGACAGATTAACTGTCATTTAGCTTTTGAGGGAGGAGAAACAGTAACAGCAGCAGCAAGAACAGTTTTCTATGGAAGAAACCAATCTTTACCTTAGATCAACCAATGTTTCTTAAAATAATGTACTAGTACTTCACACTGGAGAGTGAAACAATGGTGATGGTGTGGTACTCTTATATTGGCAGTGTCCTTGGTTGTTCCACTTGGCTGGAAACAATTTTACCTAAAGCATTTAAACCCCAAGAAGTGCAGTTGAAAAAACTGTTCAGTTCAATGTGCTGAAAGGCAAATGAAGCTTTTCCAGGAAACTGTTAAACTTAAAAATAAAATAAAATCTGCTGAGCTAATACTGCTGTGAAGTGTATCTGGCCCTGCGTTCTTAAAAAGCTAAGGAAACCTACACTGATATCCCATCCCGTCCTATCATTTTGTTAGCTGCCTGTCTAACTTTTGACCTGCCTCCTTATTATTTTAAGAAAAGATGTAAAGAATGAATTCTGGCCTCATCTGAAGGCAGGTGGCCTACCTGGGAGCTAAAATATTTGACCACTGAAATTATTCCCTATTCAATATAAACCTGTTTTAAGTCAGCTTGTGACAAATGTGCAATGCGTGATTCATATGAAAAACTCTATAATTGCCTGTATAAAGTAGGATAATTTTTTAAAAAAATATATCATAAAAATAAAACATTTAGGAATGTAGGAGTAAGCTGTAGTGATGCTATATTCCTAAAAGACTAAAAAGCATACTAGAGATCTAACTATGGGTCCCCTTCTCAGAAACAATTAGAGACTTGATGCTTTTTGTATTTTCAACAGACGATATAATCACTTGGGTGATGATTAGAAAATGTCATCACAGAATAATTTTAAAAGCTGATTGAAAAAAAAGTATATAATATATTTGAAGGAGATAGACATAGTACTGGCCATAATTTATAGAATAATTCATTTTAACCATTATAACACTGGACTTTAAATTGGCATGTTTGCCTGCAAACATTTCCTAACTCTATTGTTACCACATCAACTGAATGTTTATAACAAATACTCTGACTGTGCCTTAAAAAAAGAAAAAATATATCACTGAGAAAAGCTAGAGGTAAATATGAATATTATTTCAAAAATGAAAAATTGTTAATAGATCGACCAGAGGAAAATAATCACTTTATATGCCCTCCTGTCTATCTGTATGATACACACACACACACACACACACACACACACACACACTAACTATAAGTATATAATATATCTGTCCTACAATTAATACAATGTGATCAAAAGTAGCTAAAATACTTTTTAAAAAGAGGATAATGAGGCACTTTAGAACTACCTCTGGTAGAAAAGAGGACACTAGAATTTTTTTTTAAAAAAAGCCTTTTTATAATAGATTGCTTTCTGAATGTTTGCATTGTGCAGAGCAAAGGACAACATGAAATGCGCAAAAGCATTTCAGCTACCTGCTCATTAAATCTTAAGTAGCAGCCGATGGGGGAGTACTGGGGTATCAATGGATTAAAAAGGCAAGGTGGCAGCCACAGCCAAAGCAATCCTCACCATTGTGCCATATTACTACAGATAGGGCACTAAATGAATGACGGGGGTCCGCCCTCCAATTTATATAGGGAAAGACACATTTATCATAGGAGCTGGTATGGGACCTGGATCTCCTAGATTTTTCTGCCTAGTAAGTAGATCCGCTTTTGAGCACGCTGGAAGGTATTTTGGATACGGCAGCCCAAAGCTATTAAGTGCTGTCTCCAACCTCAGAAAGACTGAATAATGATAATCCAGTCTGATTGCTGGAAATGACAAAGGCATGTCACTGGCCACAATAAAGAAAGAACTTCTTGCAGCTGGAGAAACTTTTTCAATTTCCCAACCAGCCTACAGCCTTAGGGTTTTGCATGAGTTGCTAAAGTCCCACCAAAGACCAGTTAGATCCAATCTTATTTTCCAAGATCTACCTGTTGCAACTGAACACCTGTAAGATTCAGCAGAATGCAATGGTGGTTACTAATAACCCTCTGAAATAAACCAAAGATATAGCTGCCCATCAGGCAGTGAGGCTTTTTTTTTTTTTTGCTTAAAAAGTGCACAAGCAGAAAGAAGAAAAAAAAATGTATGATCCATGTTTCATCCTCTTACGGTCTTGGATAAATCTAAGCATTCCTTTTTAATCACTTCATTTCATCCAATGAAAGGGCAGCCTGCTGGAAATGTAACACTGAAATGTTCCTTCTCAGCTGAATCTCTGGATGAATCTCCACGCACTCTGCATTTTTTTTTCCCCTTAAAAAAATGCTGCTTTAGCTACTGTCCTTAGCTACTGCCTGGGCAGCTGCAGAATCTGAGTACCTGTAACTCATGAAATCATTTACCATGTTGGAATGCTTAATGAAAGAAGTGGGGGACCTAAGAAGAAAGGCAGGCCCCAGCAATTATAAACCTTAAACAATGGACAAAACTTTTCTGAGTCTCCTAAGTGACTTCTGCATGGGACTTCTCCTGTCCCATCTGTCCCATTTTCCATCCTTTCCAAGGATATGTTTTTAAAAGCATCACTTGATAATCCAGTAAGCGAGTAACGGTCAAGAACAGTTTCACGAATCAAAAGGCATTTGTCCCAATTGAAACCCAGGAGGCCCTTTTGCTTGACCTTGTGGAGATTTGCTTTGTCATGGGGAGAGCTGTTTGATCCAGAAATTGTTGTGGCTATTAAGTATCAGTATTCTTCTGATACTCTGATTTAGCAGGTGAAAACATGTGTGGTGAACTAAGGTATCTGGTGACGGAAGAGCCAATTCTGCATTAAAGGTTGAAATGAATGCAATCCCAGTTCAGAAGCCACCAAGAATTATCACACAACACTGACTTGAATTGTTCTGATTTAGTCTGCGGTCTTACTCCAATACTCCTGGTCTCAGAAAAGACCTCTTTCGATAATTCCAGGCTTCTGTTTTAGAGGAAGGAGGAACAAGCTGTAATTGTATTTTGATATGATTGAATGAAGGGGGATGTGCACGTTTTCCCACTGGGTGGAACTCCCCAGTACTAGCATACGCAGGAGCACAGAGCACTGGTAACCCTAGCAATCTGACTTTAACTCAGGTGCTTCTTGTTCTTCTTCTTGCTCTGGGGCTAAAGGACTGTCACAAGATATAGTAGATGAAGTGTTTGCTTCATTCAGGGTTGAACTAAAAATTGAGAAAGAAAAAGAGGGAGAATTAGGACCATTCAATTGTGGTAGACGTAGCTGAATGGCATGAATCATCATCATCATCATCATCATCCTCACTATTGTCATAGTCATCGGCATCAGAATCATCATCATGAGCTAGTGATGCTAGAGAGCGATGACAGAAAAATTCAGGAACACCTGCTCTAATTTTTGAAAAAGAAATAATTTTCTAGAAGATAATTTGGGAGGGTTATTTAGTAGAATAGAATACCTTTGTTGTCACTGCATTCCACGAATACAATGAAATGTGAAAGCTACTCCAGCACAGTGTCCCAAACAGCACATCACAATCATACTATAGAGTATTTAAAAATTAAAATAATTATAATAGGACTAAATCACAAATGCACTGTTTGATTCCAGACAATTACTGCCTTGGAAAAGAAACTGTTTTTCAATCTATTAGTCCTCATTTTAAGACACCTATAACGCCTCCCTGATGGTAACAGTTGAAAATATGAATGTCCAGGATGAGAACGGTCTGTGGAGATTTTTAGTATTCTAGAGAGGAGTCTGTTCTTCGCAATCTCTTCCAAAGAAGAAAGTGACCAACCGATGATTTTTTGTGCTTTTTTTTAATAACTCTCTGGAGCATCTTCTTATGAATATATTCTTCAAGTGAAGGCATTCTGCAGACCTTAAAATTATTTTCAGCAACATTTTTCATATTTGTTAATATTTTCCTAGTCAAGAAAACAAGCAGTTGGGATGGAATAACATCACGGTAGGCGATACAAGTTAAAAATATTCTAACCTTGCTCTGCTGCTAGAGGCCTCTGGAGGGTTATTAGTGTCTCCTTCTGGTTTAGGATCAGGCAAAGGAATGATATAATCATTGTCCACTCCATTCTGCTCCACAGCTGTATAGAGGACAGAACTTGAACTGACACTGTCACTTGCAGTGGACCTAGAAGGACTGAATCCTGTGTTCCTGGGCCTCGTACGCATAATAGCAGGGTGATCACTTTTCAAGAATTCTTCATTGACCTGTTGATACTTCTGCTCGCATGCAAGGCAATGAGAATAAGAAAGAATGGATAAGTACATACACCTATTCATCTACATTGAACAATGCTTTATATCTGAGTTATCATACATCTGGATGTTGCAGAAAGTTAACATATTATCACTGCAATTCCAAGGATTTAGAAGTCATGGTTACTGAAAATGGATGGATCTTACTTTGAAGTAGATTTTTTAGACATATATGAACTTGTATCTCCAGGAGTAAATGATGAGGTCAAGTGTGTCCCAACATGGAGACTATGCATGCACTCTGTGTTTCCCTTTTTTGAAAAAAAAAAAGTGCACTGTATAAGCCAATTGTTTTGGTCATGTGCCTATACTTTGCTAACTTGAGATATGCCATCTTTATCTTTCAAAGGTTTGAAGGGCTTCAGGACCATGAATGAAGCTATTTGTCACATGAAATCTGGTTTAAAATGGGGTTGTAGTGCATATCTTGGTTGCAGTCTGGTGCACCAATCTGTAGCCAATAGATTTCATCAGATTTCCTTTTCTTCTACATGCCTGACTTATTTCAGAATCACGAGCAGGCTGATTGACTTGTTGAGGTCCCCAGAATGTAACGGAGTCTGAATAGAATCATTCAGAAAATGCCAAATTTTAGGTTTGGTAAAAAACTTTTTTTTTTAATATTTAGCTGTCATTCCCTGCCTCCAGGAATGTTAATCAATTGAGATTTGAATTTTGTACATTACTTTCTAAGATTATAGCAGCAGTTCATAGCAGTTAAGATATTTAACAGCTGCAAAAGTAAACAAAAAACCAACAACCCCTACTAATTCAGTGTCACCTCTACAATGGTTCTTTTATTTCCTGTCACTTATTTTACTTCAGATTTCAGGAGTACCTGAGAATCCCCCAAAATGAGGCTGATGTAGAAATGGGTTGGGCACGCAGCCCACAGATTTATAACAATACATCTCAGGACTCCTACTATTGCTCCTAGTAAACAACATGATCCATGATTAGAAACATTACTATATTACAAAAGAGACCAAACTGGAGAATTTTGATACAACTAAATTCCTCACCTCCTACTTCCCAACAAAGTAAGCCTTCACTTACTAGTTATGATTATAGCATACTTTTTATAGAAACAGATATTAGGATGTTGAGCTGCTTATTGAAACTGGCTCCCATTTATCATGCTCATTCTTATATCGAAAGCCACTGGGTACTGCATACAAAAACCAACATCTTTTAAGAGCTTATGACAATGAAGAACAATAGATCAAGGTTTAGAATTCTGGATGGCAACTGATCATCAGAATCTCATCAAAAGTGCTAAATTAATAGGAAACATATTTTTCAGTACTTTTCCCAAATAATAGCCAACAAGATTTGGAGACAAGTACTCAGTCCCATATCCTTTCTATGGGTAAAATAAAAGATATAATCTAGATAGATTTTGGTTCAAAAACTGATCCTCTTTATCTGTTCAGGTCAAATATAGTTTACCTTCTTGTAGCTGTCTGTTAGCAGGTTCCCCATAAGTACTACCAGTTGAGAGAAAGGTGGTCGAATCTCAAATTTCTCTTCCCAGCATTTCTGCATAATTTCATAGCTAAAAACACATGAAAGAAGATTTCAAGGTTTGGGAAAGTCTTGAAAAGTAGATGACATTTCCCTTAAAGACAATTGTGTACCCAAACCACTCACATTTCATTGGATGCATGGGTAGGTTTGGACATCCGGTAGCCACGTTTAATAGCATTATAAAATTGGTCATTCATAGGCAGTTCAGGATATGGAGTCCCACCTAAGAACAAAAGAACTTAAGCAACCACCATTTCTTTCTCAATTTCACACAATGACAGGGTTGTTGAGAATGGTCCCTCACAGACAGAAAAATGGATGATAGAAAACACTACTATAAATAGAGAAGATTATGTAGATATACTACAGAAGTAACATTTTTTCATTTTAAACACAGAATATTTGGGAGGAAGGATTATATCAAAGGTTAATTTGGCAATGCTGACCACAGAGACATACCTAGAGTGAATATTTCCCACAGAAGAATCCCAAAAGACCACACATCACTTAAGGTAGTGTAGAGGTTGTTGAAGATGCTCTCAGGGGCCATCCATTTCAAAGGCAAGAAGGTCTATTTAAAAAAGTAAAATGGATTTTATTTTTTAAAAAAACTTCCCATAGTACTGACCATTGAATGGTTACTTTGCTGATGATACAAGAAGCAATGGGTGGAAACTAATCAAGGAGAGAAGCAACTTGGAACTAAGGAGAAATTTCTTGACAGTTAGAACAATTAATCAGGGGAACAATTTGCCTCCAGAAGTTGTGAATGCTCCAACACTGGAAGTTTTTAAGAAGAGATTGGATAACCATTTGTCTGAAGTGGTGTAGGATTTCCTGCCTAGGCAGGGGTTGGGCTAGAAGACCTTCAAGGTCCCTTGCAACTCGGTTATTCTATTCTAAACTTTTCTGTGAATGTTAATGGAACTTGTTAGGAAGAACTATGAGTCCTTCCCAGTCAAGAGGGATCTCATGACTATAACCTTGCTATTGTCAGTCCTGTTTAGCATGATAGCAATATGACAAAATGTCACTCTGATCAGCAGTAAAACACTTAGTCAAGTAATACCAAGTTCTAAATTTCCTATGTAGAGAATGGATTGCTCCCTCAAAAGTAATTTAGTGATGACCCCCAGCCCAAATCCAACTTCAAAGAAAGGATGGCTATTTCAAAAACAGAGATGGAAGGAGAATAAACTTCCAATACTAATTTTCTTCACAAGTAACAATGTATGGAAAAAATTCCACATACTGAAAGCTAATAGGGCTTTAATGAGGATGCTGCCTGTAACATTTATTGGTCTCTGGTCACATCCTTGAGTCTGCAAATATTAATGCAGGCATCCAAACAGAGCAACTTGTTCATAGAGACCACTATTTACATTGTGAATATTATATGTATTAGATTGTTTCCATAGTGAAATACAACAGTGTGGTGAGGAAGAATTGGCGATTCATGCAATATTAGAAAGACAATATAGCCATAGACTTTTGGTGCCTCAAGTGCAAAGTAGCTCTTTATGCTTCCCAAAATGTCAATAGTTTTATTTTAATAGTTTCTAATTTTAATGGATTTTATTTGCATTGAAATACATCCTGTTAGTCAAAGACTATCCTACATAAAGAGTGGTTGTGAACTTCTAGAGATTAAAAAAAAATTAAAAAACACAGCCTGAAATAATGGAGTAATATTAAATTGGATAGAAAAAAAATGGACTGGTTCAGCAAAAGACACCCTCAACTGAAGGGCAGCTATATTATGCTTGTTACCATTATTTCCTGTATTCCTCTCCCAAGCTTATGCTTTTCTGTGGCATGTGAAATCAGTCTGCTTCTGTTTCCCCCCGCTCCCTTTAGCAGCTTGCGTGCTGTTCTAATCACCATCTTCTAGGGTGAAAGAGAGCTCGGTTGTGCAACCAACACAAAAAAAAAAATAATTTCCAGGAAGAATTGCAAAGAGCCAGGGGTTTCGTTTCCTATTTGCTGGAGAAAATAACAGGGTAAGGGAGATTTAGAGACGTGCCTTCGGTTTCCAGCTGTGCAAAATGATACATATTGGAACTCTGGTCATACTTTGGTTTCAGCCCCTGAAAGCCTTGACCTAAGTGTATATATGCGCCCCCCCCTCCCAAATTCAACAAAGTGATCAGCATGGGAATGCTAAGATCAATAGGGTAATTTAAGTTTTATGAATGAGGAATTTGGGAGCTTGCTTATCTGTATCCATAATGATATTATGTTCATGTTGTACTGTGTTAATGATATAGCTGTATAGAGATAGCTATAGCTATATAGATATTAAAAGGTGGCTCAGTGGCTAAGACACTGAGCTTGTCAATCAGAAAGATTGGCAGTTTGGCGGTATGAATCCCTAACGGAGTGAGCTCCCATTACTCGTCCCAGCTTCTGCCAACTTAGCAGTTCAAAAGCATGTAAAAATGCAAGTAGAAAAATAGGGACCTTTTTGGTGGGAAGATAACAGCGTTTCGTGCGCCTTCAGCATTTAGTCATGCCAGCCACATGGCCACGGAGACATCTTCAGACAGCGCTGGCTCTTCAGCTTTGTAATGGAAATGAGCACTGCTCCCTAAAGCTGGAAACAACTAGCACGTATGTGCCAGGGGAACTTTTACCTTATATAAATATTAGCTGAAAAGAAATGATTGGCAATCTGAAGTTCATTAGATGTTTCAGATTTCAACTCCAACCAGTCTTCCTAGGATAACCAATGACAAGGAATTATACAGATTATAGTTCTAAATATAAGGAGATCACCAAGTTGGTGAAAATCTTCCTAGCATATTCCTGCAAGTGCAGGGTCCAGTTTTTGGATCATTGAATGCCACTTTGCATGGTCAGCTGTGTCTCCAGGGTGCAGGCCTGTGGTTTGCATATCTTTGTTGATGGTGTCTTGGCATCTCAGTTCTGGACTCCCACGAGGTCGCTGGCTATTGACTTCTAGTAGGTAGGCAGAAGGCAGTCTTGGCAACGGTGGAAGGTGCTGCTCTCAGGACATATCCACACCAGCAGAGCTGGCCTTCTCTCAACTTCTCATTAATTGGTGCCACACCAAAATGTTGTCGAATCGTGTCATTTGTGATGTGGTCAAGAAGGGAGATGCCCGATATCCAACAGAGCATTCACATTTCCATGGCATGGAGATAGCTTTCAGTCCCTGTTGTTGCTGCCCAGCATTCAGTGACATACAGTGCAACAGGGCGGATGGTTGTCTTATAAATCTTAGATTTAAGATGGGTTGGCATTTGTCTGTCACATAACACCACCAGTGAATTCTTGCCAATGCATCCAGCCTGCATTCACCCTTGCTCGCACCTCACCATTGATGTCACAATTGCCTTAGAGGTGGGATCCCAGATACTGAAAAATATCCACCTTCTTTAGGCTTTGTCCATTGGTTTGAAGCATTTCAGGGGTGGTACAGCCTCCAAGTACTCAGTTTGCTTGATGTTGAGGCAGAGTTCAAAATGGTTGAGGTGATCATTCCATATTTGAACTTCCAGCTGTAGTTTGCCTCTGGTGGTAGAAGCAAGCATAACATCATCAGCACAGAGAAGAGCCCAGGGTGTGTTCTGCTGCAGGTCATGTGTGATGGTATCCATGACCAATATCAACAGAAGTGGTGACAGTGCAGAGTCTTGGTGGACCACAACCATCACTGGGAATCTTTTGAAGAGGACAGCTGGGCATCACACTTGGCTGCTGATGTTCTTGTAGAGCATTTTGGCTGAGTCAATGAGTGGTTCAGGTACTCTATGATCCTGGAGGGCATACCAGATCAGTGTGATGACCCAGGGTGGGATACAAAATAAACAGTCACAAAAAGCAGGCGAAGCCCCTTTTATTCCTTCACTTTGCTTCCAAGCTCTCAAAAATCTTCATAGTGTGAGACAAAAGGTGGATTGGTGATAGTCAACTGAGTCACACTTGTTCTTGAAAATGGGAACTGTTAGGCTTGTTGACCAATCAACAAGTATGGAACATGGCTAGTGTTCATTATACTGATTATAGCATTGAGGAACTCAGTCAGCCAAGGTATCCATGTCTCACACTTCCTTTAGTTTCCAGAAGTCCATGGATTGTCAGGTCCAAGGGCCTTCATGTTCTTAATTCTGTTCACAACATTGTTGACTTCTTCCTCAGTTATGAGTGAAATGGGCTCATAAGTTGGTGTGTCTTCTGGAATTGGTGGATGTGGGAATTCAATGTTGGAGATCTTACTGAAATGATCCTGCCATCGTTGCAGGATCTCCTCTTTGTCTTGGAATCATTTGCCATCCTTGTCCTTCATGCATATGTAATGCTCGTTGTTTTGTGCCAAGTTGGTGAAAATCTCTTTTTAAATTCAGGAAAAAGCTAATCTTAGAAATATGGAAGTATCTTCATGAAGAATATCAAAACAGGCTCAATTATCTGGTGGGTGAGGCCAAAATAATCTCTGGTCATTTATTGTTAGATGTCCTTGCTTTGTGATGGGAGGCTCCTGGTCTTAGATGGTTATGTCTATGATTTGGTGAAGACATCCTAGACACCAACATGCAACTTTTGCCAAACTTGTGGAACTTTCAGTGTACATTTTGTAGACACAAGACTTAACTGCTTTCTAGTGTATTTGAAAGCTGCGGGCCCAAAATCTTTGTTAGGAAACTTATTAGATAGATAGAGGTTTCAGATGTACATGGGTATATGTGGAAAGTAAATGATCAGCAAGAAAGAACAAGGAAATGAGTTATGAAATGTGGCAAGAAAGTGTCCATTAGAAGAAAGGTATATAAACTGGAGCTGGAGATCAGCTCGGGCCACTGGCCTACAGCTGTCCTTCCTGGACCAGCTATGACAGTGGATCTCATTGCAATGGGTTATTAGTATAAGTTCTGTTACGATGGTTGTTTATGTTCTAAATTACTAGTGAAATAAACCTCTGACTTTTAAAGTAAGAATTGTTGTCTTGTCTTGCTGTCTTTTGTTTCTTTCATTGGATTTTTCCACGATACCACCAACAATCAAAAAGCCATAACTATTCAGGCTACATTTGGTCTAATTAAAACATAATAAAGAAGATGTCTTCTGAGAATTCATAATTCCTACTCTTTTAATGGTGGCTGCATGTGGGTATATGGCTAGCCAAACAAAACAAATCTTCAGAATACTTGTGGATTTGAAATTTAGATTTGTGGGCATGTGCCTTCCCTAAGAAATTTAGATTTTCTAAGAAATTTAGATTTGTGAGCATGTGCCTTCCCATGGTCAGGTGGAGCAAGGATCCTAAATATATGTTTAACTCTTCCTATTTTGGTCAAAGGGACCACCCATAGGCCAGGTAATCTTGCTACTCACATTTCCTTTGGAAATATAATTTGAATCCCGCATGATGTCCCTGGCTAGGCCAAAGTCACAGATCTTCACCAGTTTCCCTTCACAGATCAGTACATTTCTCGCAGCCAGATCACGGTGTACACACTGGATAATAGGGAAAAGACATATTGAGCATATAGACATAAATCTCGGATGTTCTAATTTTTCTTTCAGAAGTAATTATTGTGCCTCAGAGTTCCTCAGAACAAAGCAACATCACAACATGCAGTGAGACATGTAATGCATATGATGAAGTGCTCAGGCAGCTGTTCTAGGGAGATGTGGAAATACTGCTGTCTAAGCTTTAAGACTTAATTTTGTCCTCTGACACCACAGCCTCATTTTGTTAACTTTATTATCCTTTAAAATACTCTGCAAAGACTGTGCAAGAAGACCCACAAAAATGCAAGTAGTAGTGCCTTAGCTGCGATACTTATTTTTAAGACCATTACCCCACCACTGTCACAGTTTGCTCAAAGCATATTTGAAGTCAGTTTAACATTTATTTATTAAATTTATACACTTCCCACCTCACTTTTTGGGACAACCTTTAGGTAAAAACAACAGTACACATTCATATTTCCATTAATGCAACATTTTGTTCAAAGAAAGAGTAGAGGTCTTGGGTTAAATCTAAGGCTGCTCCATTCTACCTTTTGCCTTGGTTCACACACACAAGCACGTGTATGGAAGTAGGAACTGCAACCAGTCCCAAGGGAACAGAAAAACAAAGAAATAGTTTGTTTCCATTGTTTACTATATTGTGGCATTTATGCCCATGGTTCCAAAGAATCCAGAATCATACAAAATCAGAGAATTCAATTTTGAACATTAAGTTTATATTTCATGTTAAGCCATCTTTTGCTTAACCACTGTTTGTTGAATAGCCACCATTGCCTGGGTCACATAACATGCTGCGTTTTAGAAACTACGAAGGCTGAATTCATACTACGTTGCAGAATTAGTTCCTTGTACTTTGAGATGCTGTGATTCTTTCACCCTTCAAATTCATTATTTATTATATGTACTCTATCTGCCACCTATCTTGCTATTCAAATTCATTGCTGGGTAGAACCTGATAAATTCTCTGTCTTACAGCTCAGCCATATTTTTTAAAAACTTGTGGTACTAGCAATTGCTTGTGACATACATACTGTATGTAACATTCTGGCTTGTGAGAATGCACTTCAGGAAAAACAACTGCAGATTATGTGGTAATTTAGAAGCAGTTTCTTTGTCTGCACAAGTTTTAGTCTTTTTTTAATCTCCTTGCCACCACTATTAGCCAAATGCCTCACGTGACCAAAATGGCTCAACACCGATCAAGATTATGACAACACAGACATGCTGATGAATGAGCCATTATGTCTGAAATGAACTTTGTGACACAATTAAATGGATTGTTTGTGATACTTACTAGGCTGCACAACAAAACTTTTTTTTTGCTACTTGAAGGAGAGGAACCCCTCCATTTAATCCAAGGTGGCTTAATTCCTCCAAGTTAACCAGGTTTGGGAGCATATAAAGCAAGATATATTCAGAAAATCTTCTGTTTAATTGGTAAGGAAGAATACAAACTAACAGTCAGCTTCCCATTCATGATCTATCAAATCTGTATTCTGAAGGACTGGCTTGAAGGATCTGAACATACTAAGCTAGTCTTGTCTTATTGAATGTCATGGCTTTTGGTTTGTGCATGCAGGGGGATTAGGTAAACACGGCTGGTTGTGAAAAAGGTTGCAGTAATGTCTCAGCAAACAACATACCAAAGTCTAGTAACACCTAAATTAACAGCCCTCCTATTTATGCTTTTGAGAGAATCACCCTTGTTCACCTCCACCTGTTTCTGTTTCTTTCTTGAGCATAAACACATACTCAACAATGTCCCCTTCTCCTTTGAAACCAAATATCCATAAATATAGTTATATAATCCTGAGTGCAAATATATTTACGTTTTTAGAAGCTAAGAATTCCATTCCCTTAGCCACTTGGAAGCTAACTCCAACAAGATCAATATAGCTGAGGAGCGGAGACTCGCTGATCAAGGTCGCTTTTTCTGAAGCTGGAAATATAAAATAATACAATGTTTATTAAATCACCTCTTAAAAGGATAGAGACATAAAACCTTTCTGCACACATATACTATAACGGTCTTGCTGGAATATAAGATTCTGGAAATACGATCAATGGAATCAGAAGCTTCTTTCACCCAACATTGAATTATACAGATAGTCCGCAACTTATAAGCACAATTAAGGCCAGAATCTGTCACTGAGTGAAGCAGTCTATCATGCCTCAGCATACAATTTTTATATACAGTGGAACCTTGGGTCGCGAACATTCCTGTTCGCGATCAAATGGGTGACGAAGAAAAAATCCACCCGATTTTTGAATCAAGTCACAATTCAAAAATCAAGTGGTAAACAAAATCGGCACCAATTTTTTTAACTGTACACATGCGCAGTTGGTCATGCTTTTGGACACAACCAAATCGGGTCATGCCCAGAGTCCAGGAACGGATTATAGTCACGACCCAAGGCTCTATTGTATAGTGTTGGTGCTCTCTAGCCCCATCTAGTGGCCAGAGGGACAAATTTCATTATATTGTTTTGAAGCTGATCCAACCCTTTTACCCATCAGCCCGCACTCTCAAAATAAGTGCATGCTGGGAAGCCAGATGTTCTGACTTGGTTTCCAAACATGATAAACACACGGTTATTTAACTAAACATTCCCTTTATTAGGAGCACTAGCAACTCTGGCAAAGAATCACTCTCTCTATCCCTCTCAGCAGGTTAACGAAGTCTCTAAATGCCTATGGAAAGTGAAGCTTGCTCTCTTTCCCCCTGAAATGGCTTGAACACACCAGGAGTCTCTTTCACTCGCCACCCTCATAACAAAAGTCCTGGAAGGGGCACCCACTTTTCCCCCCAGTACTGGAGACATAACCATGCCGAAGGCGCGCCTGACTCTTACTTCCTATTAATACCTTTTCTTGGAGAAAGGAGCCAAGCTAGTGCAACACTGTGCCACCCAACCTCACCCCCCATAGCTGGTACAAAAGGATACCATTTTTTTTTAATTTTAAAAATAAACTTTATTAAATATTAAAAAAATATATACATAGTACAAAACATTTCATAAAATACAATACCAAAAATACATACATAACCAATAAACATAAAAACATAAACATTTCTAATTGCTTAGACAGTGTGTTCTTATCAAACAATTTTTCAATACTTACTTCCTATATCTGGTAAATACTCCTATCATAACCTCTTTATATTTTCCCTTCCCTATCTGTTTACTTGCTGGTTTCTATCCTTTATCCAATTATACCAGTTTTCCCAAACTGTGTAATATTTTGAGTCTTCATCTTTTAAATTTTGGGTGAGTTTATCCATTTCCATAGTCATAGATCTTCTGGATTATCAAGTTATCTGTTGGCATCTGATCACCCTTCCAACATTGAGCTAACACTATCCTTGCTGCAGTGATTATATGTAAAATTAAATATTTTATTTCTTTTGCAATTTCACCTTTTATTATTCCCAACAAAAAAAAAAATCAGCCTTGAGTTCTAATTGAATGCTTGTGATTTCTCTTATCCATATTCATATTTTTTCCCAATACTTTTTACTCTTCGGGCAAAGCCACCAAGTGTGAAAGAAGACACTCCTTGTTTGTTTACATTTCCAACAGAGTGGGCTTAAATTTGGATACATGTTGGCCAATCTTGAAGATGCCAGATACCACCGATAGCACATTTTATAATGGTTCTCTTTATAGACCGCCGATTTCGTTAATTTATAGTTTTGCTTCCAAATTCTTTCCCAGTCTTCCAAATTGATATTATGTATTACGTTCCTTGCCCATGCTATCACTGGGACCTTGACTATTTCCTCTGCCAATTCAAACTCCAATAAGCAGTTATACATTTTTGAAATTGCTTTTTCATCTGTTCACTCTAAAAGTTTATCAAGTTGATTCGGCTTTATGTCTATTCCATGTTCCTTTACATCTTTTTTATACCTTGTTTTAAGCTGTAAATTTGGCCACCATTCCATCTTTACCCCATGGTCCCTGAGTTCTTGGTTTCTTTTAAACATTCCTTTGGAATCTAAAACATCTTAATATTTAATCCTACTTCCAATTTCTAGTTCATTGGGGTGTATCAATGCCTCCATAATGGATACCCACCCTGGAATTTTCATATAGTGTCTGTGCTTAATTTCTCACCAGATTCTCATTAATGAGTTTCGTATCACATATCTATTAAAATGAGTATAAGTTTTGTTTCCTGGGTTCCACATGAAGGCATGCCACCCCGCCTGCAGATCATGCCCTTCTAAGGTTAATATTCTACTGTTCCTCAAATTAACCCAATCTTTAACCCACATTAAGGCTGCTGCATTATAATATATTTCCCATGCAGGGAGTCCAAATCCACTTCTACATCTATTATCTTGTAATGCACTCAACTTTATCCTCACTCTTTTTCCTGCCCACACAAATTTTGTAGTCATTTTATTTAATTCACTTTAAAAATATATATATCCAATTTTACAGGAATCGTTTGAAAGAGAAATAATAATCTTGGTAAGATGTTCATTTTAATAGTCACAATTTTCCCTAACATCGATAACTGTATTTTCCCCCATTTTTCTAAATCTCTTTTTATTTCTTGTACTAACTTTATATAATTATCCTCTTTTATTGTTGAGCATCTTGCTGTAAGCCAAATTCCCAAGTACTTGATTTTTAAAACAATTTGTAAGCCCGTTACTTCCCCTAATTCCTTTTTTTGACTATCTGTTAAGTTTTTTGTTATCATTTTAGTTTTATCTTTATTAATTATTAGGCCGGCCACTTCCCCACATTTCTCTACTTCTTTAATTAAATTTGGTCCTGATTCTATTGGTTCTTCTACAAAGAATACAAGATCATCTGCAAAGGCTTGAACCTTGTATTCTTCTTGCTTAATTCATAATCCTTTTATCTACTGATTCAATCTAATTCTTCTCAACAGAATTTCTAAGTCCCTATAGCTGACCCAAAAGGATACCATAGAGGACCCCGGCAGAGTCTCTCTCCCTTAGCAGGTTAATGAAGTCTCTAAATGCCTGTGGAAAGCAAAGCTTGCTCCCTTTCTCCCTGAAATGGCTCCAGCACACCAGGAGTCTCTCTCACTCGTCACTCTCATAACGAAAGTCCTGGAAGGTGCGCCTGCTTATTTTTCCAGTACCCGAGACATATACATACATACATATGTCGAAGGTGCACCTGACTCTCACTTCCTATTAACATATTTTCTTGGAGAAAGGAGCCAAACTAGTGCAATACTGTACTTCTCAAGCTCAATCCCCAGAACTGACACAAACGGATACCATGGTTGATAGTACCAAAAGTTGCCAAGAGGTCAAGGAGAACAAGGATGGTTGTACTAGCCCCATTCTGCTCTTGCCAAAGATCATTGACAAGTGTGACCAATTGTGATGACCCAGAGCGTGGCACCAAGGCAACACATATAATCAGTAGGTGTCCTTTTATTAGCTTCAACTTTGCCCCCAATGTCCTGGTTACCTTCTGGCTGGAGAAAATCTCTCCCATGAACAGTCTTTGGCTGCAGAGAATCAAGTCCAAAATGCGGTCAACAAAAACTGTAACTATAAGTCTAATCAAGGCAAAATGAGGTAATTAGTCCGGCACAGCAGGAGAAGGAATTCCAGATGTGAAGGCATGGCAATAACTCCATTGGGAAGTTGGAAAGATGCTAGGAACACAGATAAGCATCAACACAAGATAAACTCACATTTGCTCCCAGCAGCTACCGCACTCAGCATGCATTTCTTTTAAACTCTCTTCCCAACTGTGGCTAATAAAGGGAATCAGGGCCCTTTCCTCCCCCATAAGCCATGCAACACATGTTGCTCTTTTCTCTGTTCCTACCTGTGTACCCTAGGATGAAGAGGTGGTGGGCATGGGTCTTCCTCTGAATTCCCTCTCCCTTATTCTACCTCCCCCTGCTCTGCCCTTCCTCAGTTTCCTCCACAGCTAACGGAGCCACGCTCCCACTCCATCAGCTGTTTGTCTTCGTCCTCAGATTCAGACTCCAACAGGGGCATGACACCAATGCTGTTTCCATCCCATAACTGGGCCTGAATCCTGATTGAAAAGGATCCAGATCATTTGTTTCATCTAAGTTCCTGAGAAGGTGCTTGGCCATCACCTTTTTCCACAACCTTCATCAAAAAGTTTGGAAACTGAATAAAAGTTGTCCAGGCTAGTGGGTCAAACCATTCCCAGGTAACCAGGCAAGACCCCTTCCAGCATGTCATATGTACTGGCACTCACACACTCTCTGTAGAACCCTCCTGCCAAAGGCTGCATCAGTCGATGCCAAAATTTCCAAGTAGTACTGTTGAATAAAGGGTGATGGTGATGGTGAAGACCATGTAGCCGCTCAACAAAGTTCTTCCATGGGTACTTGAGTAGCCTATGCTGCAGTCATTGCTGCACTTCTAGTAGAATGAGCCGTCACCCCTCGAGACACTGGAAGAGACCTTGATAGGTCCTACCAATGTAAACCCTAATCTATCTGCCCACTGTCAACGGAGACACCCTCAACCCCAATGTGCCTGGCTGGAAGGACACAAAAAAAGCCTGAGACTTTCAGATAAGACATGTTCTCTGGATTTATATCTTTAATGATCTATGAGCCTCCAGAGTGAGCCATGTCCATTCCAAACTGTGGGTAGGGTAGGGATATAATTTTGGGAGAATAAGCTCTTGAGCCCTGTGGAACCTAGAATTAATCTTAGGAATGAAAGATGGTTCTAACTGCAAACCAACTCTATCTGGATGAAAAATACACAAATTTTTCTTTACTGAAAGTGCAACTATCTCTGAGATCCTTCTAGCCAAAGAGATGGCTACTCGAAAGGTTACCTTGAGAAATAGGAAGTGAAACTAGTAGATCTGAGAGGCTCAAATGGGTCATACCTTAAGGCCCATGACCTCTTAGGCAGATACCAAGTAGGGAATCTGTGAACCACAGCTG